CTTCTTTTACACCTCTTGACCTTTGACCTTTGACCCCCAGCTTCGACATCCCAACTCGTTTTCGGATTCCCCCCCCACACACACACACACACACACATCCCGAGTTTCGAATCCATACGTCGAGCCGTTTAGATTTGTGCCCAACTGTTGACGGACAGACGCACGGACGGACGCACGCTCATGCGATTCTACAAGCTGCATCTGACTATGTCAGATGAGCTAAAAACCTGACATGGTGAAATCTGATCCGTTATTTTAAATACATTCACATGATTTTGGTTTTTACTGAGATAGCAACGCCAGCATGCCAAGCAGATCTTGTATCGCAGACAGCAGGCATTTACAGCTATATAAGTTTTTTTTTTTATGTGAAAAGAACAAATCCTGCAAATATGTAAAATTACTACAAAGCCTCCCCCTTATTTTAATAATACTTACTTTAAACGACTTTGTTTTTGGATAACACAGCAATATCAAACAATTAAAATTAATAAAACCACCTTGTAAATTGTTCAATTTTATTGCATTAGACGTCATAACATGCACAAACATGAGAAAATAAATGCTTGCTTTTGCGGGATTTTGGGTTCCATCATTAATGTTGCTGTTATTACTATTATCACATGGTATGATACATTTCAATAGGTTTTATTTTCCCCCAGACATAATTACATACTTCTATATTGCTAGGGTCCACTATTAAATAAAATTAGCATGCGTTTCTATTTGTCAAATATTGATGAGATATCATATTCAAAGTGGTAAGACAAAAAACATTACTTGTGTAACAAGTCATTATCTAAGTAAATGGACGGATGTGTAACCATGCAGTGTGAAGCTCAGTCATACCACACCATTAAACGCATATGATACATCAAAGATAATATTTTTGCATGTGCAATAAATAATTGATATATATGGAACTGACACACAGTATATACACAGCATCCTATATTATGAACCGTCAGATATAAGAGTCACAACCATTACAGAAAAGAATGCAGCTCCAAGTAGTTTTAGTATAATACTGCTTCTATCAATATAGCAATACATACAGTTACAATGCATTCGACCACGGTATATCGCAATGTATAATTTGCTTGGTCCCTTGTATATTCCTTGATAATGTCAAAACAAGCAAGCAGGCAAACATCAGAAAATGTATTATATCTACCTTGAGATGGTTGGGCAGTTACACTCTTGATCCTAGAACAGTATAGTATAGTATTATTATCGTTTCAACTCTGGCATACACAGACGACTCACTGCAACACAAATCTGTCAATTTGCTCTTCTTTTGTGTCTGCCTCTTCATTTGTGAGGGAGTTGTCTAATTGGTTTTGTTGCGCCAAATTTCGGAAGTGCTGAAATTAGAGAAAAGACAATAATAAATAAGTACTTCTTGTAGCTTCCAAAAATTACAGGTGAAATCACCTGATTTTACATACTAGTCAGATATAGTTTGGGGCAACAAAACTATACTGTTTACACAAGATCATTTGCACTCTAGATGTAATAAGCTTTTGGTAGGTACAATTGGCTACTCAGATATAGCTTGCCACATGCAATGACTCTTTGGCAAAGGTTGGGAACGGATTAAAAAAAAGGCTGTCGCATCACATGAGTGATACTCTGACAAAATCACTCATGAGTTATATCGCTTTCAATCAATTTAATTATTTTAAAAAAAAGTTGAATTTACAACACAATTTACAAGTATCACACTGTGGTGAGTAAGGCAGGCATGGCTAACCCTGACTATGCTGATTTTGGAACCACAAAAATTGCCATCATGAGCAATTTATAGATATGGACTAGAATAGCATGTGCCATCTAACCATGGCTTGTAATGAGTTGCGAATGGCGAAGTACAAGCTACTCTTTAGACACGCTGTAAACAGCGGAAATGACCACGGATATGCCACACTACACATATAACCTCACCCCAATAGTTAAAGTGTCTACGTCACGAATCTCCAGAAATTATTTAAAAAAATATAGTTGAAACCTTATTTTTGTATTTTTTTTGCATCAAAAGTTAGTACTAACGTAAATTACTAAATATATCCTCAAACTCTCACCTGATAAAAATGTTTTTACGTTGGTTAAATTTGCAAAAATCTTGACGATTTGAATTAGTGTTGTCTAACACTATTTACATATTACTGGCGTCTCTCTGTTGCTGTACTGGTTGCTGTGGTCGATGTGCCACCAAGAGTCTACGTTGGTTGTAAGTATTTAAAACAAACTTCAGTTTTTTAGATAGAAAAATAAGAATTAAAAACTATCGAAAAAAAAAACCGCCCGTACAGCACCAGAGCGTCAGTCTTAGGTGGAAGATTAAAATAAGACCTCGTTTTAATAGGAAAATAATCATATTAAGTACCATAAAAGAAACGCACACGCAGCCCACCGTACATGACAGCGACAATTAGTGCGGCTTCGAAGTATTATAACAATAATACCTTCGTTTTCAAAATATGATCTAACATTTTTACCACCCGCCTATATCAGCACGTAACCACATATATGCTGAGAGCGCGATAGCGTAAAAACACGACCGGTTACCGGGCTAATTAAACAGAAACCTGCTACTCAAGTGCATGCACAAACCGCGAGAGATCCTGAACAAACCGCTATCTTATAGCGGGGTCCATCTAGTGGCTCGTTAAAAACGATCATTGCGAGAATTTTGCTCGAAAAAAACAAATAAGCTGAAAACATCTCACCTGACAGCGGGAAAATATCACCTGGGATACACCAACATTCAAAATCACCTATATTCACTCAGTATAAGCAAAGAAGAAAAACGGATTTTGACCCACATCCATACAGCCAATACATTTTCCGAGTCAGCATTTCAAAATCACAAATGGAAGTCCAAACAAGACGACATAATAAAACAAACTCAATCTAATTATGTGGATAAATATCTCTCCGGCGGTACGACCACAACGAGGATCCCTTGAACCCTTTTCATACCTCCCCGCCTCAAGATATTAGTCCCTAGACTTTTTGTTAAGAGCGAGAGATATAATATTATAGTGTACATATGCTCCACACTTGTAGATATTTGCACACCCACTATCAGCCTCTGTGTCTACAGCTGACACAGAAAATACACCCCCCCCCCCCCCCCCTCTCTGCTTCCTCCCATTCCTCCTTACCTCCCACACACCCCCCCCCCCCCCCCCCCCCCCCCCCCCCCCCCACTCGCCACCAAAATCCCCCCCCCACTCCGCCCCCCCGCACCCCCCCCGCCCCCCCCCCCCCCGCACGGGTCCCACCACCGCCCAGCTGACCCACCCCCACCCCCCCCCCCCCCCCCCCCCCCCCCCCCCCCCCCCCCCCCCCCCCCCCCCCCTCCGTGCGATTTGCATTACGCGACCCTCGGAACCAGCGCAGAAAGTGGCGAACAATGAACCAGCGAAAATCAACAGAAAACGCAAAATCTAAATGCG